TGCACTTAACACTCGTTTTTACACTCAAAGACATTTTCACAGACTTTTTTTTCTCATCATTACCCAAGCATTCATTTGCATTTATTCGTGACCTCTTTGAGGATTCACCATTGGCTATCACAATTCATGTGATTAGGACCAATCGAGCCTCAAAAGAGACATTTTTGTCCCTTTCGAACCACCCATTAAATTTGAGTTTGCATTCATGTTAGACATATCCAAATGCAATACATCTTTTGGGTAAAAATTAGGAAAATTGTCACTAAATCACGCAACTAGCTTAAGTTAAGGTAAAAGGGTGCCTTAGACTTCGTCTTTGCCTTCCCTTTCATCAACCGTGACCCCCGAACTCGTCTCTTGGATTTTCGTAGACTAGGAGTCATCTAAAAAGGTTTTTACTTCATTTCTTCAAAAACTACTTTTGGGTGACTTGGTACACCCCAACTCAATACCAAGTGGCGACTCCTACTTTCCTGTTCAAAACCTTTTTAGAGTATCTTTTTGGCCAAACCGTCGCACTTAAAAGTCCCATGGCCTTTTTCTTTATTTCCCACATTCACACATTTTACATATTTCATGAACATTACACATTATGACTTTAAACAACTATTTTTTCCAATTTTTATTTTCAAAAATGGGGCGCGACATTTGGCAACTAAACCCTTGCTTGCTCAATTCGATCAACTAGCCCTGGGTTGGACTTATAGCTCCAAGTAGTTAAGTATTCAAGATATGGGTCTCACGTATTCAAGTATTCATAAGCTAGTTTAAAGCCCCAAGTATTCAAGTATTTACGAGTGGAGTTGTTAGCTATCATCCAACGCTCACGCAGGTAATAATTGGAGTCGTTAGCTATCACCTAATGCTCCGTATCAAGCATATCACGAGTTCAAGTCACGAGTAAATAGATTAGGAATTTCGTCCTTTACCCAAGGTTACCCAACTTACCGGACCGCTCTAAGGTTGATCTTCAAGCAAGAGGTCCAACGAGAGCTCAGTTCAGCTGTTACCGACCTACATTCATGCATACGCATGAGTAACCTATTTTTTCACTTAACCGACGTCTCGGATAAGGGTATAAGGGCCTAGTTCAATCGCTACAAAAAGATATACAATCGGTCTACAATCATACACATGTACATGCAAGTTCGCACGCAAGATCAAGTATTTCAAGTCAAGATACAGGTCACTTATAAATCAAATTACTTATACAAGCATGAACAAGATATCAAAAGTTTAGTCGAGATTGATTAAGTGCGTGTAGACACCAAATTTTTGTCAAATTTTAATGTTTTCTTGAATTTTTTCTATTTAATGAGTTGTTTATTTTGTTGCATTTTAATGTGTATTTTCTCATTTTTATAGGTTTGTTTTGGAAAAGAAAAACAAAAAAAAAAAGAGAAAGAAAACAAAAAAAAACAAAGACAAAAACAAGAAAAGAAGAAAAATAGAAGATAAAATCCTCCTCTAATTATTTCTCTCTTCACCAAATACACTATTCATCCATTTTTGCACTCAATGTCCATGCATCTTTCTTTTCATTTGGTGGAAAACTCATTATTTTTTTATTAACCAAACACTCCACCTTTTTGGGGCTCAAAATAGATCTCTCGGCCTTTTTGGTTTGCTTCCAAGGGGACAAGAAAAAAAAAACTCCACTTTGGCTAAAAAATACACTCTCTCGGCTGTCTCTTGCGGCTGGGGAACTCAACAGACAAGCCAAAAAGAAAGAGACTCCACTCTTTTTCTCGACTTGGTTTTACTCTTGGCTCCCAACAGACAAAACACAAAAAAAAAAGAGAAGAAGCAAGGCATTCTTCATCCTAAAAAACTCTCTCGGCTCTCTCTCTTGTCTCAACCGAAAAGAAGAAGAAAAAAAAGAAAAACTCCTCTCTCCCTCTCGGCTATCCTCTCTCCCAAATTTTTTCCAACACATTTGCACACAACAAGGCAGCAATCGGTTGGATTGGAGCTTGGCAATTTCATCAAAAACCTTGGCAAAGGGACCAAACTCTTCATTGAGGTATTTATCTCCCTTTTTTCCAGCTTTTCTTTTTTTTAAATTAACTAGATTGAATGTATGTGTGGTTACCTTTTTTGTTGCTTATTTTTGCTGGTTTTTGTTGGTGTTGTATGGATGAAAATTGGGAAATAGCTTGAGCTAGATTAGGGAAAAGGGAGATAGATTTTGTATATGCATGTTAGGTGTTTGAAAAAAATGCCTAAATAAAAAACCGAATTAAAGTACCCATTGTCATGCATTTTGTTTGTTCAAGCATTTTGGGAGTTTGAACTTTAGAAGCATGTGAATACTTTTTTCTTCATTTTGGACTGTTTTATTTTAATTTTGTCACATTTGTTGTTGCTTTTATTGATTTCAGTTCATAGTTAGATTGTAAAAATCACAAGGAATGTTGTAGTATATTTTTTATAATTTTTAGTGAAAGATGTGATTTGGAAAAATAACCACTGGTCTGTCTTTTGCTCTTTTGGCCACTTTCGGGTCATTTTTTGTAAAAAGTAACTTAAAAAATGGATTCTACGCGAAAAATCTAGTGAGGGGATGTATTTTGGTGAAATTTGGTAACCGGAGGGGTTGCTGGCGACCACCGGCGGCCACCATAGCCGCCAGCCAGAAGGGAGCTTCAACTCCTCGGTAGAGAAGAAGGGGAGGAAGAAGAAAAGAAAAGAAAGAAAAAAAAAAAGAAGAAAAAAGAATGGGCTAATGTTTTTTGTTCTGGTGGGTTTGAGTTTATTTTTTTGGTTTGTTTCTTTTGTGTTTCGGTTGGGTTAGTAGGTCAGAGCCCATGTATTTTTTTTTTTGGTTGGGTTTGAGTGATAAGAAGACGGGCTGGCCTGCTCGCTTCTCTGGATTTTTCGACTGGGCTTTGGTAATGTTCGGTCCAAAGAAATAAAACAATGGCCCAGTGGCCCGGTTTGTTAAGGAATAAGATAACATATTTGCATATTAGTCCCTGTACTTTCAAGTATTTTCACTATGGCCTAGAATATTTTAAATTTCTTTCACTTAGATTCTTAAATTAATTGCATTTTGGTCCTTGAACTTTATCTTTTATTTAATTTTGGCCCCTAAATTTTGGAGAAATTATATTTTTGCCTCTAAAAGTTTTAAATTTTTGCAATTCAGTCCCTAATGAATTTTGATTCCTCTTATTATAATTGTTTCTTTTCTTTAATAGCTAATCATGTTACTTTTGAGTAGAGCTGTTAAAACGAACCGAACTGTTCGTTAGCTCGGTTCGTTTCGGCTCGTTCGTGTTCGTTAAAGCTCGTTCGAAAACCTTAAACGAACCGAACACGAACGAATTTTTGTGTTCGTTTAATAATCGAACGAACACGAACATGTTCGCGAATTTTAACGAACGTTCGCGAACAAGGACATAATTGTCATTTGATAAATTTTAGGGCTACTCCTACTCGTAAGAAATTCTAAAACTCTCCCCTGCCCTTTCCAGCCTTACTTTTGTTTTCATTCCCCGTTGCCGTTGGCCGCTGCTGTTCTAGATTTTCTACCGTCCAAATCTCCTATCACATAAGCTAGCTAGATTTTCTTTGTCTTTTAAAATTGGATATTGGGTTTGGGGGTGGAGCCTAAGTTGGTCCTCTGCTTTGTGGCTTCAAGTTTTCGATTGTTAATGGTGGTTGTCTGCTGCTGAAAGAGACCGGAGTTTCAGTTGCCCCAATCAACATCTTTGGTGGTTGGATGACTTCGGAGATCGCGTGCCTCCCTCCTTTGATTCGGTATGATTTTTCACAGATCTATGAATTTGTGTTTCTCAATCTGGAATTTTTTTATCAGTCAAAGGGTTTTCCTAGTCCCAACTTTTTTTTTGCTTCTGGTATAATGACCAATATTGCTGGTCAGTACATATACTCCTATTATGCTCACAGGCAAATGAAGATTAGCTATTCCTAATCCAAAGATAGAGGCGAATTCTGTACAAATTAATGTAATAGGAGGGCTGAAATTTTGGTGGAGTCAAGATATTTGCCGTTTTTATAATGACCAATATTGACCCATTCTTTTTTCTTCTTTCGGCTTGGTCTTGCAACATTGCAATAACGTCAATAGAATGCAGATTTGAAACTAAAAAAAGGTTACTAGGAAAACATATGATGGGAAATTACTTAAAACTATTCAGGTATGATTTCTTTAGCCATGGAATTTTATAGTCATTTAAAAGATTTTTATTGGTACATTTGAAAATTCACACTCAAAACTTAAGATAAAAAAAGCATAGTGCCACAAATTAAAAAAGAATGTCTGAAATTTCACCTAAAAAATGGTGGACAAATTTATGTTAATAAAAGTTTTAGAAATAATACTTTCTTCAAAGCAAAAACTAAAAAGAAAAGAAAACTAATTAAGTTGAAACACCCGAAGGAATGTTTCCCTAGGTTTAGCTAAAGAAAAAGAATGATTAAAGAAAAAGGAGGGGGAAAAAACACATTGTTCATAATCAGAATTCACCATTATTCTTTGCAGTTATTTAATTTTGTCCATTTTATTTCAAAATGAAGTAAATTAAGCAGTTACTATATCCGAGGGTGGGGTGAGGAATGCAATCATACGCCCTGAATGGGCTATGCAGATTCCTAATTTGAATTTAATGATTATTCTAAGTCTTGGGTGTTAGGGAAGCATTATCCAATATCATTTACTTTTAGCATTTTTGAATTAATTCCAAACTACCCACTTTGTTTTGTTCTCCTGTTGTTAATTCTTGATAAGTTGTAGTTGTAGGAGGAGCATATTTTGCTTCTCGCTTGCCTTTTTTTTTTTTTTTGGTTGAAACTTGAAAGGCAATTATTTATTTGAACATTGATCTTATTTTTTAAAGAATTCCAAACTACCAATAGTACTTTCAGCATGTATTAATTTTATGTCTTTGCTTCCTACATAATTTTGCAGATTATGTTTGGTTAATTTTTCATTGATTACTGATTAGTAGTTTTATTTTTCATTCATCAAATAGGGAATGTCAAGCTCCCCTTATAATTCACATCAAGGCTCTTCCACAAGTCCTATTATGGATCCTAGCAATGAATATGTGATACTTGTTGGTGGTGAAGAGGAAGATGATGAGATGCATGAAGATGTTGACATTGAAATACTTGCTGAAAACAAGGAAACAAATGAGGCTAAACCATTTCAAAAAAAGAGTAGAACGTTGAAGTCTAAAGTATGGAGTGACATGGATCGAGAACCTCAAACTGATGGATCAATTAAAGTGACATGTAAACATTGCAAAGAGGTATGGAAGATGAATGCTAGTGGCACAACAACAACTTACACTAGGCATTTGAAGAATTGTCTACAAAAGAAACTAGTAGATGAGGGGAACAAAAGGATGCAACAACAAGTTCTTTCCTTCACAACAGAAACACCATCGGATGGCATGACCTCAATAACAAACTTTAGATATGATCATGCTAAGGTACGGGAACTTGCATCCCATATGGTTTTGGCACATGAATACCCTTTTGCAATGTTGGATCATGAAATTTTTAATAAGTTCATGAAAGCTGTTTCTCCATATTATATAAAGATTAGTAGGCAAACTGTGAAGAAAGACTGCATTTCTACTTATGAATTGGAAAAGAAGAAGTTGATGTCATTGCTAAAGGAGGTCAGTAAAATCAGTATCACAACAGATTTGTGGAAATCAAATCAAAAAATTCAATATATGGTTGTAACTGGGCACTTTATTGATTTCAATTGGATGCTACAAAAGCGGGTGTTGAATTTTTGTAATGTCCCTCCCCCACATACTGGAGTTATTATAGCTGATGCTCTTAACAAGTGTTTCAATGAATGGGGCATAGAGAACAAAATTTGTAGTATTACCGTGGATAATGCTTCGTACAATGATGTGTGTGTTAGGAGGCTGAAAGATGACTTTTTGTTGAGAAAACAATTAAATGTTGGGGGAAAATACTTTCATGTTCGTTGCTGTGCACATATACTTAATCTTTTGGTGCAAGATGGTCTTAGTCAAATTGGAGAAGTGATTGATACTGTTAGGGAGGGGATTAAGTACCTAAATTATTCTGAGTCCCGCCTCATTGAATTCAGCAAGATAAAGAAACAGCTTCGTTTATCTCCAAGAAAGTTGATTCTAGATTGTCCAACACGTTGGAATGGGACATATTTGATGTTAGCTTCAGCTGTAGAATTTAAAGATGTGTTTTGGAGATATGCAGACATTGATCTTGGCTTTCATTATGTTCCTAGTGAATATGATTGGATGAGAGTTGAAGATGTGTGTCAATTTTTGGGTATTTTTCATGAAATAACTAATATGATTTCTGGAAGTGAATATCCAACTGCCAACATTTTCCTACCTGAGCTTTATAGAATCAAGGAGCTTCTGAATGAAAAATCTGTTAATCCTTCTAGCCATATAAGGGCTATGGCTGCAAGCATGGCTTCGAAATTTCATAAATATTGGGGTGAAAGTAATATTCTGCTTTCTTTGGGTGCAATTTTAGATCCAAGATATAAAATGGTACTCATTGACTATGCCTTTCCAATTATTTATGGTAGTGAAGCAGCTCCCATATACATTGCTGAAATAAAAGAGGTTTTGAATGACCTTTGTAATGAGTATGTTTCTTCATTCACTCCATGTTCTACTGAGGATGTGCAGTTGCCAAAATGCAGAAAAGCTGAAATTAGTCATGCTTGTAGTTCAACTTCTATGGTGGTAGAAGAAATTGGAAAAAATGTGTTAACTGGAAAAGCTAAGTTTGAAATGCATGTGAGTAGCCAAGAAGAAATGCCACCAAAAGAATCTGAATTAGATATTTATTTGAGTGAAAAGAGATACAGTGGTGCTACGAGTGCAAATTTGGATGTCTTGAGTTGGTGGAGACAGGAAAGATGGAGATTTCGGGTGCTGTCAAAATTGGCTGCTGACATATTAGCTATTCCAGTTACTACTGTAGCTTCGGAGTCTACTTTTAGCGCTGGTGGGAGAGTCATTGATGGTCGTCGTGCTTCCATGTTTGTTGACACAGTACAAATGTTACTTTGCGCTAATAATTGGGTTCGAAATTTGCATGGCCTTTCAAAAAGTCATTTAAAGGTAATATATCATATATGTTATGTTTCTTTATTTCTGCAATTTTTATAAATTTACCATTCTTACTTAATTCTGATTCATTTTTTCCTTTGGTAGGAATCATCAATTGTTGATGACTTCAAGGCATATGAAGAAGTTATACTTCCAGATTGAAAGGATGCAGCTCATTGTACTCATTTTAATTTCTAAAGTTTCAGTCTTCAGTTGGTTGTGTGGAAATTTTCAATGTTTGTCATTCTTAATTCCTCTATATGCGTGTATGATGTCTAGTTCCTTTTGATTGATATTTTTAAAACTGATTGAAAACTTTTGTAGTTGATTATTATTTTATTCTTTGCAGAGTCTTGGGGAAAAAAATTCGAATGCCTTGGTCCACCTAGCTCTTTTCAACTACAATGAATTTGGTCCAGTTACTTCATTTTCTTTGTCGTGGCTGATGGATTCAAATGGCTAGATGAAGTGGATGTAATAGTAGTCAAATTGTGAAGTGGAGTAAATTTGTACTTGTCTTATGGCTGGATTTTTATATTTGAAGGACAAATTACTTTGTTTTATTTGTTGTTTTTATGTTAATGTTGGTTATGTAGTTAACGAATGATGGAATTTAGTCATTTAGTATTTTAATTATTTTCTAGAATGATTAATGATTTGTGTGGCATATTTAAGGCCTAGAATAATCTGGATTCGAACTTTTCGAGCGTGTTCGCGAACGGCTCGTTTATGTAGTTTAACATAAACGAGCCGAACACGAACACGAACATGAACACGAACTTTACTTAACGAGCCGAACACGAACACAGGTTTAGAATTCGAAAGTTAACGAACGAACACGAACGGCGTTCGAATCGCTTAATGAACAGAGCTCAAACATGAGATACTCGGTTCGTTTCGGTTCGTTTACAGCTCTACTTTTGAGTATATTTAACTTGTAATTTTTAGATGTTCTTAAATTTCTGTACCTTTGACATGTTAAGGTGAATTTAGTACTTTTATTATTATTATTATTATTGTTTATTTTTTCAATTAAATTGGTGCCATGATTCTTTTGTTCATTTTGAGTATAAATAGGGTAATTCGACTCCATATAGTCGGCACTTCAAAAGGGAGGTACCCTATTATTATTATTTCAATGTCAATTATGTGCTCTTATGTGCTCCTATGTGTTTATATGTTTTAATATGCTTTATTTATTTGATTTAAATGTTCATCCAAAATTTCTTATGTTTTTTAGTTAATTTTATAATTATTTGAGAGGCATTTAAATACCTCAAAAATGTAATAGATAGGATAATTAGATTTGTTTTATTATATTATTCCCTTTTAGAATTGTAGTTAGGCTCTCCCCGATGTAATAGGTAGGTTGTGTGTTTATGTGACTTATGTGTTATATGTCTTACTCGCTTTCCTTAGGATTTTTGCATCTAAATATTATGCCTACGTGTTATGTGCTATGTGCTTTTATGTGTTTATTTGTTTTAATTCATACCTTATTTGTTTTACTATGTATTATTAATACATGAGGTCACCACACTAGTCCAACGCTAGTTGTGGTTTCTCTCTCCGTTTACTTGTTACTCCAACGCTGGCAAGCATTTTTAGAAATGGGTTAGTCCAACGCTAGACCCTTAGATCCTTCGTGCATTAGATTCATTTTTGTGTGATATTCATCACATTTCCATGCATATTTATTGTTTTAGGATTCTTTCATTTGCATGATATTTTATATATAATACCCTCTACCTCCTACCCTCTATATGTGTTAATCATGTCATTTAGAATTGCATCTCATTTAAGTTAGTTCATTTGCTTGTCTATGTTAGGAGAATTATTCTTCAAAAATGGGAAATGGGTGATTATAACTTTTTAGTTTAAATACCCCATCGATCCCTGTATAAGAAAATTATGTCACGAGTTTTTTTTTTGTTTCCCGTACCCATTATGATGCATTCCTATTCTTTGATCACTTATATCTACGTATATAATTTAATTGTCTTTTCTTTTCATTAAATTTCATCATTCATATATTCATGACACCCTTCAAGGGATTATTTTGGCCTTCGTAATTAATACGCTTGGTTTCAATTAAACCCTTTAATGGATATTTTGCCCTTCTCGATATTTGTATTTGCATCCATGTAGTAATAAAATTAAGGGTTAGATTAGAAAAATTTTGACTAAACCTAGCAACTAGTTTAGACTAGGTTGAAAGGGTGCCTTAGGTTGGAATTAATCGAATCTTTGCCTTCCCTTTCTTCAAACGCGACTTCCGAACTCGTTTTCTCTTGTTGTCAAAGACCTAGAGTTGTCAAAATGGTTTTATTTTATTTTATTTTACTTTATTTTTGTTAAAAAACACTTTTTGGGTGACTTGGTATACCAAAACTCCATACCAAGTGGTGGTTCCTATTTTTTCTTAAAAACCCTTTTAGACTAAATTGTGGATCCAAATTGTCGCATTCTTGAAAGTCCCATTTTAGGTTCTTTTCACTTATTTTTAAATAAAATTAAATTTTTTGTAAATACCTTTTCTTTTCCAATCACGAAAAAATGGGGCGCGACAATGCGATAAAGTACACACTCACCTAAGAAATGATAAATCAAGTGCCTAGTAATTTTAACAACAAGTAGCATGGAACATGCAGTTGGAATACTCACCAAAGATTCTCAATCTTTTCACTTCAAACCCTGGTTGGTTCTCTCAAGTCCTGTGGTCATATAAGCTATCAAGAGTTTATCCATTTCATGCCAATATAAATACAAATTATGAATTTTGAAAGTTCAATTAGCCAATAAAATAATTTGCAAGCTTAACCCCTGTATAGCTTTCAAAAGTGCACAGTTTTTCTGTTCAAATCTGGGGGAAGAAACCTAATGCATGATCGATCAATATTGTGAGCATGATACGATGCAAGAACATGTCGACTATAGTCAAGACTTATAAAGAAAACAGGACAAGACTTTCGAAGTGCAATGTTGGAAATGTCCGACTAGAAAACGATTTGCAGAAAACTCATTTCCTTTTGTATAAATCTCTTGTTTTGGCTCAACACCTACTCACATGTTAAAATCAAAGTCTTGGCAAGTATCTTAGACAAAAGTATGTCAAAATCATCATACAAATTCCGGTAATGAAACAACATTCTAGCCCACGCTCATCCGGCCAACCAAGCACAGCTTAGTAACACTTAACCCCCAATTCCTCCATCTAAGCTTCCAAGTTTCCCCTTAGCTTCATGACAAAAACACAAGAAATCATGGCTACCAAACATGAGACATATAGCATATGTTCTTGACAAGGAAAGCTATCGTAATCACACATATATGTAAAGCTTGAAACTAAGCTATGGACTACACTTACTGTATCTCAACTCTAACATACATATACGAATCATGGTTTTGGCAAGTGACTCGGACAAGCATAATAAGAGGTGCAAGAATAAGTCAAAATAGCTCTCCCTCTTTCAAACAACCATCCAAACCAAAGTTCACCAACTTGTCCAACCAAATTTCTCAAATTAACCCTCCAATTTCAACCATATTTTCATGGGAAAGTTACTAATAATCAAGATCACATGTTATAGGGTAAATAGTCTACATTCTAGACAAAGAAAGCCATCAACTTTATACATATATGAAGCTCTAACTAAACTACATCAAAGCTGGACATTTTCATATCAAAGCTAGAAATTGTATACCAAAGCTTGAACATCTCCTATTAAAGTTGAAAATTCTTCTCAAGACTGAAAAATGCATATCAAGGCTGGAAATTAAACATTAAAGCTGAAAATTCCAATATAAACTTGAAAACCATGAAGTTTTTCATAAAAGTCATGCCATTTCACCCTAAGGCAACATATATCAAGTAAAGTCAAAACCTAATAGAAACATCTGATAGTTTATCAAATAAACTTAGGAAATCATCATATATTAAGAAAACCAAGTAGTTTCTCAAGTAAAACTAGCAGATCATCATATAAACATCAAGAAACTTAAGTTTTCTATCAAAGTTTACCTCCTAACCTCCAACCCAAAGAAGAGAAGCAAATCAAAAGGGATGCAAGATTTTCTTTTTCCAAAACTTCACCAAAAGCTTCCCTTCAAGCTTACCTCAAGATTTATCGGAATGGATTAGTGTCTTTCTTTGGATTTCTCATGGATTAAGTAAGAAATCAAGGCTAGAACATGGAAGCTTTTCTCTCCCTTTCTCCTCTCTAGTTTTAGCCAATGTGAAGGAAGAAATGAAGGAATTTTGGTGAAAATGCAAGATAAAGACTAAGAAAAAGTCTTGGTCAAAGTCTTGGCAAGACTTCTTAGATGGCTGACAAGTGGCACCCATCCAATCCAAGTCTATCTCTTTGTCTATCTTCACTAATCCATATTGTTTTCCTCTAATAACACTCTTAAACTTTCTTAAAAACATAAACTCTCTTATAAAAATTGTGAGAACCCGTAAATACCCTAAAAATTTTGCTAGGGTTTTAGTTCCCTTAATTGCATAATTTTTGCATTTTCTGGCTTAGAAACATTTTCTGGGTTGATTTTATGAGCAATTATAGTTTTTAGATGATTTTTCTAGTATTGGTGAGTTTTTAGAAAAAGTTTTTCAAAATCAACAATAATCCAATAAGCAATAATCAATCCAAAGCATAAGGATACGGATGGCCCTCAGGAGCCAACTTCCATTCATCATCAGGAGCTTGATCGCGTAGTAGTTGACACTCCGTCAACTTTCAAGTAAAGGAACCAATCCAGTAGAGCACCACTTACACGACTCTCCGTCCACCATTCACACCCCCTACTGGGCCCAAAATCCTCAATAAACATGGGTGGTAATACTCGAGTATACCGATTAGCCGAGGAGGTATCACTCCACTCGACAAAATAAGAGACCCAGGGTTCGTTACCCAATCGACCAAGCCCTTGCCGGCTCGACTAGAGTAACTCGCCACAGGGTTTCTGGAATTCCAGGAAGTGCGCACATCAAGTATATCAAGTCAATTGCAATCAATAAACAAGTATATCACGTAAGGGCAAGTGCGATAAAGTACACTCTTGCCCTGTCAATTCACGTATATAACAAGTACTCATATTGGTCACGTATCCAGTTCAAGTATCTAGTGCAATTCAGTATTTGAAAGCACTCACCACAAGAT